AGGATGTGTCTTTCTCTAACACCGACTCTCTTTTCAGTCATGCACTGCCTGAATAAAAACCTCACGTTCACATAGAAAGACTAGAAAATTACGTGCTTTGCAACTACTTGTCTGCTAACTATATGGATAAACATAGCAAGTGAAGGTAATCAACCTGCATCGTTAAGCTAAAATTTGGTGGAGTTATTTGGTATGATAAAAGTCTTTGTATTACCCGGCCAATGAAAAACAACGATATTGTTTTCACTGACTTTTCGCTATTCAATGCTAATAGCTCTCTCTATGAAAGTATCATTAAACAAGAATTTACAAAATCTCGGTTAATATAAAGCAACTTGATCACTTTTATCCTGTATTAGGTAATTTTTACGTCGTCAAGTTGGTCAATTGGCAAGGATAACAAAATCATGTGTAGACTGCTGAATTTGATTAGTGTATGAAATTATAAAAACAGCATGTTTTACATTATGAAATCGCTTATCACATTTGTGTTGATTCTGTCACTTCAGGGTGGTGTGTGGTCAAATTCTGTCCCGGACAATCATTTCTATCCAGACAATTTGAATTCCATTTCATATGATGAACTTCTGATATTAGACGGTTTGTGATTCCTAAATTTTTTCTGGACTATTTCCATGTCATCAAAATCAATGTCGTGACCTGATTCTATATTGTATAAGCCGCCTATGGCTGACGACTTTTCAAGCTTTTTAGCTCAACTGGACTTCTTGTTGGTTGAATAGATGCTCTGTGGTGTTCATTTCTGATTTTGATTTCACCCGAGGTTTGTCTGATGTATATCGCACCATATTTTATAGACACAATCAGATTGTGAATCCTTTGGAATTCGGTCTTTTACATAGACAAGGTTACTTAGCCATCACATAATCTGCAAATGGTTTTACTATCTTTACCAACTGACCAACTTGACGACGTAAAAATTAACTGATACTGGATAAAAGTGATCAAGTTGCTTTATATTAACCGAGATTTTGTAAATTCTTGTTTAATGATACTTTCATAGAGAGAGCTTTTAGCATTGAATAGCGAAAAGTCAGTGAAAACAATATCGTTGTCTTTCACTAGCTGGGAAATACTAGAACTTTTACACTTATATACAATATCCAAATTTTTTCAAACTACTGAAGGTGAACTTGGTAGTAGTACTAGAATTTGATCTGTCAACTTTTAACCCACTTGACGACTCAGACTGAGTTAACCTTTGATCAAAGACTTTCGGTTCTATCAGGCTGAAGCTACGCTAAGAGACGGAAATACAATGAAATACAGCAAATTAGAAATATTCTTTCTTACCCCCGAAGATTTCAACGCTGGTATTCTTCCATAGAATAAAAACGTTACACAGAATGCTAGTATGACCAGCCCGTGAATTCTTATAATAACTAGTAACATAAAAAACGACGTTACAGCAAACTGGGCTTAGTTTAATTACTTTTCAGAAATGTAATATATATTACTGAATATAAGAAACGTGGCATATTAAAAACATCTGGTTTGAGGCCGAAAGGGCATCTCAGATTGTTAAGTAGAACACATCCGTAGCTATGAAGCAACTACTATAGTGTTTTCAGGCGAATGAATTGAACCCATTGGGATCACGTGTACCTGTTTTTTTATCAAGGTGTCTTCATTGCCAACTATTTCTTCAGACTAAGTTAGGCATGCAAACAGCGCTGGATAAAATAAGCCAATTAAAAACTGCACTCACATTAAGATTCCTATGCACAGTGGTTGTTCTTGCTATGAATTGGATTCTCCAATACCACAACCAATTACCATTCATTATCGCTCAAGACATTCCAGCGAAAATTAGATTTCAAGGGATGCGAGCAAGCTAACTAGACAAATATTATCACTTAACATACATAATAAATTTAAAACACCATATCCACATTGATGTAGGAATAGGAGCTCGCTGGTATCAGTGAGCTCCGATTATGATGAGGAGCGAAAGGTACGCAAACGAAAACTTACAAAAAGTCTTCGCAACGACCGTGAACAGTGGTGGGCGACAAAAGCGAAAGAGATGGAAAAGCCATCGGCGACTGGCAACACCAGACAACTACTCAGGCTTATCAGGGAAACAGGTGGCAAAAGGTAAATGAAAAGTGAAACAATCTCGGAGAAAAATGGCACCATAATTAGCTTCCAGGGTAGACGACTGGAACGCTGGAAGGACCATTGTGAGGAGCAGTTTAATTGGCCCACAGCCATGCTCAACCTGCCGAACATCCAACACCTCCCTGAATGGAATATAGACACAGGTCCTCCGTCACTCACTGAGGTTACTAAAGCTGTCACTAATCTGAAACAAGGCAAAGCAGCGGGACCTGATGGAATGACTCCAGAAGTATTTAAGTATGGTGGAGACAGTTTACTGTCTGCATTAACTGAGGTTCTAAGCAGCATCTGGGAATCAGAGGAAGTCCCATCGGGTTGGCGTAAGTCACTCATTATCCCCATATACAAGAAGGGAGACAAGTCTTCCTGTGATAATCACAGAGGGATTAGCTTGACTAATATAGTATCTAAAGTCCTAGGCTCAATAATCATGCGTAGACTAAGTGGGGCTCGGGAGGCACAAACACGAGAGAGCCAGGCAGGCTTTAGACCAGGAAGAGGGTGTAATGATCATATCTTCACTCTCCGACAGATTCTAGAACATAGGCATCCCTACTGGCGTCCAACAATCATTATATTCCTTGACCTAAAGGCGGAGTTCGATTCTATCGACCGAGAGGTTCTCTGGCGATGCTTGGCTGTAAAGGATATGCCGAGAAAATACATTGCACTGATTAAGGCACTCTACTCGTACTCATACAGCCAGGTGAGGGTTTACAGTGAGTTTTCATCTGAACTGGTGACTAGTGGTGTCCGTCAAGGATGCCCATTATCCCCTTTTCTATTCAACTTCATCATAGATGTACTAATGGAATTAACCGTAAGTGACTTCAGCGACTCAGGGATTGACTTGCTACCAGGTGAATAATCTCGTTGACTTAGAATATGCAGACGATGTAGTCCTTCTAGGCGAGGACGCTGACAAAATGCAGAGTCTTCTGAAGACCTTGAGGTGCAATCTACGTTTGTTTGGCATGCGATTCGCTCCCGCCAAATGCAAGATGATGTTACAGGACTGCACTACACCGACTCCTAGATTAGAAATAGGGAGTGAAGTGGTAGAGCACGTTGACTACTTCACTTATTTGGGAAGTACCATCAGCCAGCGCCAACGGGTTGATCTCTGATGAAATCTCGGCACGGATACAGGGGGCTAGTTTCGCATATGCCAGCCAGTTTACGCCGTCTCTGACGTAGACGAGATATTCGGCTATCGACCAAAGGGCGGGTGTACTGGTCATCAGTCCTCTCAGTCGTCCTTAATGGCTGGCCACTGAGAGTGGAGGACATGAAAAGATTAACTGTCTTTGATCATAGATGCCTGCGTTCTATCTCCCGTGTGAAGTGGCATAATAAGGTGAGCAATATTGAGGTTTGGCATCGGTTGAGTGCTAGGTAAGAAGGGGAAATCAATCGACGAAGTTGTGAAGTTACATCGACTGAGATGGTTAGGACATGTGTTACGTATGCCTAGTCATCGCCTTCCTCGACGAACAATGTTAGCGGATATAGGGTCAGGCTGGAAAAAAGCTAGCGGAGATCAAACCAAAACATGGCACCAGTCAATGAAATCTTCAGCAGTTAGTCTAAGCCACGTAGGAAGGTGTAGACTTCCTGATTGGTTGGGGTCCTCAGGACGGTAACAACCAATGGTTGGAAACAATTGGTGCCATGGCTCAAAATCGCTCTCAATGGCGCAGATGCATCCACTCACTGTGACTTATGATTCCCAATGAAACTGATTTGTTCTTCGCTAATACTCTTTCTTTGTCTCACTTCTCTGCTTACTGTCTCTATTAAGCTTTTCTTGTACTTTCTTCTCTTGCTTTGTGTGCTACAAGGAGGAAGTGTGGCGATTTGAACTGCCGCACATATTTGCAAAGTTCTATGTCGAAAACAGACAGAAAGGAATAAAACTTGTGCACTGTTGTAGAGTGTAATCCCATTATGGGTAAATTTTGTTTTGATATGATAATGAGCAATAGATTGTGCTCGAAACGTCGTCAGTAAACATTACTGTATATCACTGAGACTTTCAGGGCATAACCACATACCTTTATTATGACGAAGACCAACCGACTAATAGGTTGTCAATGTCCGAGACTGATCGTCAAATTGTTACCTAACTACAAAACTACACGCCTCAAATTCCAACTGAGTGAGCATATAAGCGTAGAAATATAACTCATTTGGTTCCCATTCCGATCCTTTTGATGAAATAAACTACCACTATCCACTACTTCATGTTAAAAGACTGTATTTGTGTCTACACTTACCACACGATTCCCAATAAGTTTCGCACAAGTTTGAGAAACAGTTGTGAACAAAACCCAATCTATGACCTAAAAATATATCATTTACATTGAGGAAACTCAATAACTACATACCATTCTTGGCATAAATGAATAAACCATAACTGTGTAAAAACTAGTGGCACTAACTTGCTAATCGGAGGCTTTAGCAGCCATGATGCACACTGAAAGTGAAGAATGTCAGTGCACTAAACCACAAAATGAGGTCATTTGAAAACGAGCAATCAAAACACAAGACTGCTCAGTACGCCATAGGTTGGTGACTTTTTTGGGTCTTGCCCTAAATTAAAAACGATATAGCAACATTTGAAATCGCAACTGCTTGTAAAAAACACAGCAACATGATAAACAGACGGAATAATTTCACAAAACGTGCTCATCAAAGTACAGGTTGTATTTCTATCCTGTTTCACTGGTGATGCAGTGGTTCCTAACATATTCGATCTACAAAGACTCATCGGAAATACTCTGCACACACTACTTAGTTTCACTTGCTAAAGCTCGATGAACCAACGTTAAGACAAAGTAAAAGTCAGTTTACTGAACTTAAGAATTTAATATTGCGTAGAAGTGCATAGGATAATCTTTCGAGAAATGAAAATTAAATATAATAATCTGACATATAATCGGGTAATTTCTAGATGGAGATGATGAGGTAGGTGGTACTGTACAATGGAGCTAAAAGGTGAATGTTACTAAACAGGTGAATACACAGGACGAAACCACATGATTATAGTGGAGTATTGTTTAGTTTTTCTAAATGGCAAAAAGCGAAACAAACTGATTTTAAATTGTACGGAAAATATTTTAGAACTAAATATCCATATATTATGTGGCGCTTCACATGAAAGATTAAAGGACAAAATAATTAGAGAATCAAATTTAAACCTAGATAATAATAGTAATTGAAGCTTGCTTAAGCTACTTTACCAGACAAAATAGGACAATCTTTATCAAGGTGGTTGACGACAAACATTTTCAAACGCTCCACTTCTATTTTACTGCGAGATAATCGGTTACGCAGTACTTTGTTTTCTTCAGAAAGATGAATAACATCTTTTTCTAGACTTTTAATTAACCGAATCTTTCTTTCTCTACATTTGCGCGCAGCGTCGCGGTTTCTCGCCCGTTTTCGCTCTAAACGCATGCGAGACTGTTCCGAAGGATCTAAACGAGTGTCCTTCAGATTAGATCCGGCGACGTTCCTCGAACTATTTCCTTGGGAAGAAGATGACACGGAAGAAACTGAAGACGATCTGATGTTAGGAATATTGTCATTCTGCTCTAAACCAATATCGACTGAAGAGGGACGGGTATCATCTGGGTCTTGAGGTGAAGTTACTGAGACAGTTCGGTGATTTTCTGTCGTATCAACCGGAGGCAAGTTTGTTTGGATATTTAAAGGCCAAATAGAATGTTCAATTGGTTGGTTGGTTACCTGAGAACGATGAACAAGTTCCGCTTGAGGTTCAATACCCAGCATTTGGAGGACTGATGCTTGTGATGCCCCGTTTGTTGATATTCCAAGACGTAGGCCATTCGCTAGTTGAACGGTAGCAACCTCGCTGTCTGAAGACTGCTGCAAAGTATTAGGGAGAGAAATAGAAAGCGAATTTTGTAAATTTGTAAATGTGATACTCGGCTCACTAGTTGTATTTAGTGATTCAGTTTGGGGTGATTGGAAAGCAACAAGACTGCCAGGGGTAACAGTTTGAACGCCAGACAATGACTGAGCATCGAAACAAGTTGGTGAGTAGAAAAGTATTGGTGCCGGAGTTGTGTTCATCCCTGCCTGACTTGCCTGGCGGCATAATTCCGCGAAATTCGGGAGATTTTGAGGGTTATATCGGCCAGATTAACATTGTAGAGACTATTACTGTTGACAGCAGATGTAACAGGACTTAGTGCTGCCGTTAGGGACGCCAAACCAGAAGCATCTCTAAGCTCATTTAGTTTTTGGGTAAACACACTAAAAAATGTTACATATAATGACTGTTACTTACTTCGCGAATCTTTCTTGTTCTTCTGTGACATGTTTGGGATTAAGGAAACTTCCTGGAGTCTGCGGTGAGGCTTTAAGATGCTGGAGAATCTTTTCCACTTCTGAGCGCAGTATTGGTTGGAGTTCCTCTAGAGAAGGAGTGAGAAAAGAAGACAACGCAGGACTCTTAATTGTATTATCCAACAGAATATTTAGAGTTGTAGGACGAGGTGCAGGTGACACTTTAGGTGGGACGGATTCTGTGGTTAAAGGGTCACCTGATGTTTGACTTTGATTCATTTCTCTTATGTGATCACCACGAACGACCAACCAGCCAGGCTGGTGACTCACCCGACCAATACAGATGACTCAAGGAGATTTATGAGAAGAATACATTTGGAACGATAAAACAAACGAGTTCACTATTTTCACAAAATCCTGTTATCTGAATAATTATAAGGAAATTCAATGAATTTCGCTTATACATTCAAAATTTTCAAGTCATCCAGTCGTTCTGTAGATTAATTATGGAGTGGAAATATAAGAAACACTTTTTTCCTTCACGTTCCCCGTGGAACATAGGGCTTCAAGCTAGTGGTTTGAAGTTTCTGTAGCAGTGTTTAATTTTAAAGGATGTGGATGCAAGCCTCATGCTCAATCTTTCCTCTTTGCCAGCATTATTTCTGGCTTAGTGAGGTAGGGGAGTGAGTCGGCCGGAGATTGAACCCCGGACCATGTGCATGGTTGGTGAGCGTCCTAATCGCTGTGCCACCGACGCACTAAGAAATATATGATCCTAAATAATTAGGTTAATCGTGAACTAGCACTCACAATGTCATCCTGAAATTACTTTGTGTGGGCTTTTTGTCTTCGGGCAAGTGTTTGAAATGGGTTAGACCATAACGGGTGTCAGTCTTGTTCTTCTCTTGTCGATAGTGTTCTGTTGTGACTGCCAAAATGTATGTTCGTTGAGACTATTACGTGTGAAGCTGAGATATGTTAAGTGAACTACTGCCAATCAAAAGAAGGACTTCATTTTTCTGAATTGAGGGCTTCAACTTTAAAAACCGGTCAGGCTAGTGAAAAAAGTAGTAAACTTTTTTTCTGTCTCCATGATCCTGAGGGTTGGCAATTTTACTCGAACTCTGGTCATTCACTCAACAAGAAAGAGTTGACTTTCTGCTTTTAGATCTGATGAGATTATTACTTTTGGGAACCACATCCCTTAAATGTCTTCAGGAAGTTCTTGTTCGTGCAAAAGCAGTGTTCACGCTTCCGATTTCATCTGCTTGAGGCACTTCAAAAATAATATCATCAAATGACTACCTACTTTTTCTTAATGCAGGGCATTACTTGATAATTCCCTCCGCAATAAGAGAACTTGAACGGTTGGAGTCGTGGCATAGAAATGAAAAGACCATTTTAAGTTACCGTAATCCAGAGTTTTTCCTGGTCGTTGTCTAGAGGGGTTTATGGATTCATTTCTGCTGTGAATAAATAGTGGAATTTGTTGCGATTGACTCAGTTTAGTACCTTTTTGATTATACTGATATGGATGTAATATACTGTTGTATGATATTTACTTAGAGCCGAAAGTAAAGCTGAGATAATCACGTGCTTATGGTGAGATGTCGAAACATTTCAGGTCGTCATACAACAAGGTATCCCTGCACCATCTGATAATCTGAATCGTGAAATACACAGGGCTAAAAGAAGGCATTTGGATATAGCTTTACCTCCGTTTTTGGAAATAAAATTGAAGTTACAGTCACCATGATTGATCGGAGGCTGTTAGCAGTAGGATAGGCATTTTTCTTGTCTCAGTGTATGTGTAAAGCCCTAGCATCATAGCTATCGCTGAAACGTAACTTGTCTTCATTTCTGACGACACACCAAGGCTGCTGAAGCACAGCCACCTGTAGCGCGGCAATGGGCGGAAGGCTTTCTCGATCAGTTCTGCTTTGAAAATGCGACTTAGCAGTTCCTTCTGCTCGGTTGGTCTAACTAGTAGTGCCGTCAGAGTGCCAGTGGAAATTATGTATGATGATTTTATCCAGCTTGTGGACACCACAGCTATAGACCGCGTCACTATCGATTGACAACGTTCTTTTGGCACGTAAAGTTTGAGCAAATACAAATGGTGCTTACAGATATGTGAGTTCAAAGAATATGACAATCAACAGCTGTCGATGACTTTCCACCAGTTTATTTGCTTTCTGTTTCGGCGTTAACCTATACCCTCAAACTTTCAGCGAATCATTGATACTGTGCTCGCTTTTCAACCTGTTTTTGTTTAAGACACCCGTTAGTTACGCTACCTGGAGGACTTCCTGTTGGTCTCGACTAGAGTGGCTATCTGTCCTGTTAGACCTGAGTTTCAGCCTCACCACCAGCCGACTCTTTAGCCTAGACCACCCAAACTGGTGGCCAACATCACTCGAACTGGTGACAGGAGAATATATCTCTCACAGCTGTCTAAGGGTGCATTTATTAGCTACAATATGAATTAATAATAAGGATACTCTATTACGCCACAAATAAACTGCCGAGCTATTGTCCTTTGAAAATCCAGTCGTCGGCCCCATGCTTAAATGTGCACAGATAAACAAATTGGTCGTTGAAGGTTCGACTGATTTGACAAATATCTTTGATCCCACAAGAGGTGTCTATCTAGACGATGTGATAACTGCGGAGAGTAGTTAGTCCGAATCATTTGACCGATCTGATCTGTCGTCTAAATTGTCAGAATCTGCTTTCTCCACTAAAGAAGATAAATATACATTTTTATAAATTCTGTAAAGTATCTTTCAATGAACATAGACCAAATCCCAAAAATGTACGTGCTGTGCAGAACTCATTCACTCTCCCTAATGCCACGACACTAAGATATTTTCTTGACCACATTAGTTATTACACTGCAAAGTGGAATCTGTCTCCTAAGTGGCAGCGTGTATTTGAAAATGTTTAGCGTCTAACCATTTTAGATATGATGCTTACTTATCATCACCCTTATCTGGATATTGTTGTTTCTGCAGGTGCGTCAGATTACTGTAATATACTGGTGGGACGGAGGAATCTGTTTCACATGCATCTGAAACGTCAAACACAATCCAACACAAATACAATCGGACTGCAGCTTGCCTTCTGAGCGGAGAAGTTCCGCAAAATGTCTCATGACAAAAAATTTACTCTGATTATCTACCGCAAACCCCCCTTGTCAAAATTTAGTTCGATTAGGAGTATTCTCTCGGATACTGCAAAATGTCTCCAAAGGTGGGTGATTATGTTGCCACGACATAATTTTGGCATCAAACATATATCTAACCCTAAATTCGCTAAAGCAATAGTAACAATTTACCCAGGGATCATGGTGTCCACACACTACAGAACTATGTTCCTGGTCAGTGGCAGAAGAACTAAGGCCCCATTTTTATGTTGATCTAACGGAACCATTTAATGGTGTTTACTTTTTAATATGTGTTATGGCGCTTTCCCTGTGGTCGGAGATCTTAATTTCGCATCGCATAACATCAAATGCAGGTGTCCCGGCTACGCCATTTGCACTGTCATCTAGGTGTCCAATAATGACTCACAGTTCACATCACGGATTTGGCATCCAACACACCAACACCTCTCTAATGAACAAGCTGAACGATCTGTCAACATATTGAATCGCGCTGTCTCAAAAGCGTAGGGGGGTGACATCCACTGATAAGTTGGATGGAATTTACTGCTTTATTGCACGATACCAAATCATTCCACTAACGTACCTCCAGTGGACCCGAGCGAGCGAAGCAGGGCTTCAAAAACACCAATATAGAAAATCAGCTCATTTAAACGTTAGTTTTTGAATCGCATCAGCACCGTAGTGTGTATGTGTGGTCTTCCTATTCACCTCCAAGGTGTGTGCGTGGAAGAACAGACAGGAAGGCAACTTCTTATACGAGGCGAATTTAGAAGGACCGATATGGATCAGCTGCACAAAAATATAGGTCTCCAAGAGATACCTGACAACGGGAGGTGAAAACTCATGTTGGGAGTATTCAAGGATACATTTACTATTTCGTAACAGAAACCTAATACCAAAGTTGAACACTATCCACTCTCACCCGAAAGTCGCTTCAGCAGGGGAGAGAACCGAAACTTTTCCTGATCGATCAAAGAAGAGTGCCATACAACTTTGACTGAGGAGTAAAACAAAAAACGGTTAAAAGTGCAGCTAACATTTTAACTCAACAGTCGCAGAGGTTGATGACTTCACTTTTCAAACCCCGGTTTACTTTATCATCCGGACATAATAGCTTCATTGTATAACCTTTGAAAATGTCTGGAAGCATTGTTGGAGGAAAGACATATAATCGTCTTATCAAGAAATAAGAGGTGAGACAAAGTATGATCCCATACGGACACCCAGAAGCTCATATAGGAGAGACGGGTGGCAGACAGGAAATGAGTTAATGCAAAGAAGAAAAACAAAAGTAGGGCTGGGTTCAGTGTACAACGTATTGAATAAGGAAGCGTAAAGGGGTCCTGCGAAAGACAAAACATTTTGTGACACACTGTCTACCAAGGCACAGTATGCTGCAGGTCAAAGTGATCTCAGATACCTAGGTCGCTATCCGGGGAGATAAAAACACAAATGAAACCAATGAAAGACAGTCAACGAGGCCTACCAAAGAGGATAAGCAGGAAAAACAAGGGGCTGACCAACTCGAAGAACCCTTAAGCCAAATGCCACATGCAATTCGTCCATAAAACCCAGCAACGGCCACGGAGTTTTGGGTGAACGGCAGCGTCATCACCAAGCAGAAGTTTAGGATGTCGCAAAGAAATTTACAGTTAGCAAGTAAGTAAGGCTAGACACAATTCCTCAGGAAGCACCAAAGATGGACACTGAGACCTCATTTAGTATTCCCATACAACTTTTGCGCTGAGTTTGAAGACAGGTGCCTACAGACCTGAAAAAAGGTGACTTTTTCAAACTGCTAAAAAAGAATTAATTGGACCTTTACGGAGGCTGGCATAGAATGATACTTCTGTCTACTCGGAGCAAAATATTAAGTTGCATCAACCTGGAGAAACTAAACGACGCCGTAGACGGAAAACCATGCTCAGAAACAAGCTGAATTCATGAAAAACAGGCCACACGAGGACCCGAATGCTTAACTTCACATCATCTCCAGATGACGCATAGAATGACAATCAGCTCGTCAACACTAAGAAGCGTAGTGCCGCAGACGTTTACCAACCTTACTCAATGGTTATGAAGCCATAAACTAAGTTACACATAACCGTAGGCT